GGTCCGTTAATCGAATTCCTTCAAAACACCACCCACTGTCGAGGAGAAGAGTGATTTTTCAAGACAGGAGGACATCTTGAACAGAAAGAAGTAGGAAGCGGTCGTTTGTACAGGTGATTATTTTGGATAGGTGGTCGTTTGAGCATGGTTGTCTGTATTTCTTCTTTTTAAGTGTTCTGCAACGAAATCAACCCAAAGCGAGGGTTCCATTCAACCATTGAATATATAGGAGATAGGAAGATAGATTCCAATTTACAAGCACAATTTCTACCTTCCGTCTTGGTCTTTCCCATCAATAAACTATGCAGTGCCGAGATTGAACTCAGACATACCAGGGGAAAATACTGCTTGATCCCACAAACAATTAAAGGATTACAGAAATAGGTCAACTTTTAAGCCCCCATCGACACAATTCAGATCATTCAGCTGGTGAGCTGCTTCGAGTCGGCCTACCAATGCTAACCCAGGCTGAGCGGAACCTAGCATTCTAATAGAGAGACGCAGATGTTCGATCAAAATAAATTTAACCCACACGGGGAATCGAAGGCATGTCTTCTGCATGGACGACAAAGAGCCTAACCACTACACCACATACGCTGGTGTGCCACAATAAAGAGACCATTACACAGGTCGATAAAAGCAGAAAGAGTGTACAGATACACTTCTTTCGCAGAGCCTTGAAGCGGCTTTCATTTAACAGCCACCGTTTAGGTTTAGGAATCTTCAGGCAGAAGATTCTTGGTAAAAGTTTGACTTGGACCCTAGGATAAGCTAAAAAGCAAACACTTGGCTGATGCAAACACGTCTGGGATGTTTGTCAGGCGATATGAGTATCTTCCTTGATCTGAGGTCGTGGATTCACTACAGGGCACTCTTTTTTAGAACCAGGAGCGACACAAGTCTATACTACGTTGACAGAAAGGGTTTAGCAACAAATTATTGCCCTGAACTCTTTAGGTTCCCATTATATGATATCAACAAAATGCATTCTCCATTCCCTCGATTTCATTTGAGGTTAGCAAAAACGCTGGAAAGGCATAATATGATAATTTGAAGTATAATGATTTAAAAAAATATAAACTCCTAATATTCAAGCAATTCATTAAATCAATTTCTTTTATTAGAGAGATACTGTAAATGATGCGACACTAATTGGTTTTTGACTTATTTAGGAATTGTTTTATACGAAAACGGCTACAGCTTTGAGAGTGTCACAATCACTAATTTGGGTGTCAAAAACAACAAGAATAACAACCACCAACACAGAAAAAGACGGGGAACATAGGGGAGGAGGAGAAGGAAAAGGAAGAGGAGGAGGAGGAGGAAGAGTAGCAGTAGTAGTAGTAGTAGTAGTAGGAGGAGGAGGAGGAGGAGGAGGATTAAGTGGATGAGGTAGAGACCAACAATAAGAAACTTAAAATGAAAATAAACGAAAATAGTTAGGAGTTAACAAAAACATCAACAAATAAACCCAACAGACAATAGTAAGTAAAAATTCTTTTTCAAAACCATTAGGTAAAATCAAAGAAGTGCGTGTTCTAACAGTCCCATGACTGCAACAGTGGTGCAGTGGTTATAACAATCTTGAAAACAGAACGGTTAATTTCAAAAGAACTCTGGAGTTCACGGTAGTTTTCCTTCACAAAAACTAATTATGAACATCCTGGTGATAAATGGAAAAAACAAAAACTGAAAAACCCACAATGGGAACTTAAATCGAACCCAAAAACAAATCTGGTAACGTAGGAAAATAAATCGTAAATTGCCTCTACTGTTATTAAAGATATTAGAAACGAGGATCTTACCCAAAACAGCCTATACAAAAGGGAATAAAACACATTAAGTAAACCAAAATACACAAGTGAGAGAAGAAACTTTGACGAAGTAACATTCTGCCGCCCTCTTTGGAGCAAGCTCGATCATGGAGCAAAGAGAGGAAATGTTATTTGCCACGACATAGAAATACGACACCTTCAGAGTATTCACCACTTTGGACACCGACAAACACACTGAACAAGAGGCCACAAACATGGACAAGACAAAATTACCCCTTCCCTCCCCCACCACCCCACTCTACTTTTTTCACACATAAGTCAAGGTAGTCACAAAGAATTTTATGAAGGCAGGACGTCGAACAACAACAAACCAAAGATCTGGTTGAGTAAATAAATGCACGAACAGACACAAACATAAACCAATACTTTGTCTTATAAATATATACGAACATTTAGGCCTGGAGATTTTATTTATAATAAATAAGTAATCATCTAAAAAATCAATCTGCAGTCGTGACGTGAAGTGTGTGACCGATTCGCGGTCTTAAAATAATGTATGTCTAGTTAAATACAAAAACAGTTATGCGTGCTGTGTTTCTAACACCCTAAAAATAGTCCTTATATTTAAATATAATGGGTACATAATCTCCCCGGAAAAGCAGAACAAGTATGGATATTCGCAACTTACTCTGAAGATAATCTGGCGTACAGGCGTGTCTATCGTATCCTCATGTCTGTCCACGAACGACTCAGCATACACAGCGACAGGCGCCTCTACTGCCCCCTCTTCCAAATCTACTGGTAGCTCATCCTTCTTTCCTCCGACATCTTCGGACTCTGATTTAGCTTCCGCAGTAACATCTTGTGTCACATCCTCAACACTGACCACGTCCTCTTGAGCGTCACTTACACACACGGTATCTTCAAGGGACTTAGTATCCACATTTGAAGAATTTTCCGACTGATTATCCGAATCATCTTGTGAAGACCGTCTTTCAACAACACTGCGGTCGACGTGTATGAGCTGCTTGGCAGCATCCACTAAAGCCACCCCATCACCGTCAGTGTATGTTACAACATTAACACCAGAGGAGCCCTCTTCTGACTGAATATCTCTAATATCCTCTTGGGATGACATTCTTTGTCGTTCACTCTCTTCAACGCGGACACTTTCTCTATCTTCACCCACCAAAGTAGACATACCGTCATCGGCATGAGAAGTCACAATGAGATCAGACGTGTGCTCCTGTACAAAATCCCTGATATCTTCCTGAGAGGAAACTCTTTCGAGAACACTTTCTTCTAAATCAACACGTTCTTTAGCGCTGCTCGTCACGGATAGGTCAGTACTATCTGTGGTTGAAGTCAAAACAACACTGGACGTGTCCTCGGACTGAACGTCGTTTAAGTCTTCTTGCGATGAAGATATTACGTCACGTTCACTCTCTCCCACGAGATACAATCCTCGCCCATCGTCAATAAGAGCAACACCCGAGCCATCCGAATGAGAAAAGACATTTATGTCTGTCGCACGTTCTGACTGAACGTCTCGAATATCCTCCTGGGAAGACGTTCTCTGAATTTCACTTGCCGTGACATCGGACACCTCTTCGTCACTTTGCATACCAATAAGAGTTTTATCCTCTTCTGAGACAACTTCATCACCTACAAAATCTTCTTTCTGAGCACCATGAACATCCTCTGGGTCAGGTATACCCCTTTCTCTATGCTCATACAGTAAATTCTCTTCTGACCCCACCAACGCCACTCCGCTCATATTATGAGAAAGAATGTCTACACCAAATCTAACGTCAGAATGAACATCTCTTATATCTTCCTGCGATGACACCCGCCGTAGGCCACCTTGTTCAAACGGCTCGTCATCCGTGCTATGACTTCTCACAATAGTCCGATCGACAATCATTTCGAAATCTTTCTCTTCAGTATCGTCTTCATTATCTCCTCGTTCACCTCTTTGATCCTCACCCTCTTCCTCTTCTGTGGCGTAGACGACTCGAGCCCCACCTTCTTCCAGAACAGACGGTCCTCCTACAATATCTAGGCCGCTGTAGCCCTCGGCTTTGTCAGCCTTTATCACGGCACTAAATGAATCCAGAGTGGAAGTAGTTGTTTCAGCTTCCGTGGCTTTACTGCTTTCTTTCCCAATAGAAAAGAACTCTTCCACTTTTTCTCCAATAACCCTTTGAATTTCTGCGGTCCCTGTCTCGCCCAACTCTTCCAGTGAGCTCCACTCCGTTTGATCTATTGGTGTTTGACCCTCCTCTGTGTAGAGCTCATCAGTCTTCTCTCGACCCGACCTAATGACTGTGTCTTCCTTTCCCGTGCCATCCCACGAGACAGTTTCCAGGTCGTCTTCAACCTTCTGTGGTGAAGTTCTTTCCACCTTCTCTGAATCTGCGGAAGGAGCTGTATCAGCCATTTCTTCAGCTTTCTCGTCCCTAAGTTCTCCTTTCTTTTTCTTCTTATCTCGTTTCTTTTTCTTTTTCTTGCCCTTTTTCTTTGAGCCCGGATCGTCATCATCATCGCCACCAGCTGTGGCACCAGCAACAATGGTAACATTTTCTTCTCTGACTTCTTCACCTTTACCCTCAACCTCAGTTTCCAAATTTAGTTCATCGCCCCTTCGCTGAGTCTTCTGTGGCTCTGTATCGGCTTCCTTTTCCCGGACTATTTCGGCAACAGAAACGTCTGTCGTAGTTTTCTCAAAGTCAGCAGTCGAGTCCTCGAATACACACTCGTCAGCTGCGCTATCTTGACCTTCTTCTGGAACTTCAGCCTCTTCGGCAAATCTCTCTTCAAGCTCTGTCTCTTTCACAGAAGAAATCTCCATCCGCGTATCACTAACAAAAGCTGAACCACCACTTTCAACTTCATCATCACCCTCCACTTCTTTACCAGAGACAATTTTGTCAACCTCAACATCCTCCGCGGTGACTTGGTCAATTTCCTG